TCTCAAGATTCAGATGATGGAAGGGGATTTTTTTGGTCAACTACATCTTCTAGTCTCGAAGTTCGACATTTTGGTCGTCTCATCTTCTGGACAAGAAAAATGAAATTTTTTGTTCATGTTCCATTGTCTGAACCGGGAATTGAAAATTTTGGTCTAGTTCCACCTTCTGAACAGAAAAAAAAAAAACAAATTTGGTCAAATTTAATCGTCCAAACCTGAAATAAGCAATTTTGGCGATCATCAATCGTTTGGACAGGGAATTAGAAATGTTGATCATGTCCCATATTCAGAAACGGAAATTCGAATGTCTGGTGACTTCCAGTTGTTTGGGCTGGAAATCGGAAATTTTGGTCCAGTCTTGCATTCCGGGCGTGAAAAACGAAATTTTAGTTAAGTTCTATCGCATGGTCCGGAAATCCTATTATTTTAGTCGGAATAAGGAAATTTTGATCTTGTCCCACTTTCTGGGATGAAAAGAAAATGTAGGTTAAATCTTATCGCAAGGAGCAGAGATTAGAAATTTTGGACACGTCCAATCGGTTGGTCCGGAAAATGAATATCGGACATTTTTATTAAATCTTGGTTTCTTGTTCAGGAAACAAAAAATTCAGTCCAAAAAGTTTTGTTCACGTTCCAAATTTATCACGAATCCAATTAGTTCTGATTCTTTTACAGTCCAAGTTTGTTTATCAGAAAATAGGCTATCAGGGGAACAGCAGATCTTCCTGTATTTTGTTGGTCTTAACAAGCTTTTAGCCCAATTTCATCTTGTCTAACATTCATTCACACAGCCACTCTTTCTCTTACTCTCAATGTATTTTCTAGGTACGCTTTACGTATTCTTTGCCAGAAATATTAACTGACCCTTTTTGCATAAAAATTCCTTGTTTCGACTGCTCATTGCCCACATGTTCTATGTATAACAATCTCATTATTCTTTAGGTAGAATTATATCTCCAAGATGCCTTTCTTTATCTGTGAAAAAGATAGTCCAGCATTCACTACAATATAGGAGATTAGTTATTAGTTTTCCTTGTTTCTAAGGACACTCGTCAGTAGAACCACATCTCCTTCGCTTCATGTCGCTTCTTCATCTGTGAGGAGATTGTCCAGCATTCATTGTCATATAGGAGATTAGATATTACATAGCCGTCCAACACCCTTTTCTTTATTTCTAAGGACACTCGTCAGTAGAACCACATCTCTGTCGCTTCAAGTTTCTTCTTCATCTGTGAGGAGATTGTCCAGCATTCACTGCCATATAGGAGATTAGATATTACATAGCCGTCCGACAATCTTTGCTTTTAAGATCACTCGTCAGTAGAACCACATTTCTGTCACTTCATGTCTTCTTCATCTGTGTGCTGATGGTTTAAATTTCCCGAATATATCGGAAGTTTCTATATTACATTGTTGTTTTAACCCGACTTCTCTTGCCTTCAATATTCCCTGTGAGTTCAAGGTAAGATTTGATTAAAAAGCGATGCAACATCGACTCAGCCAGTTCACCATGACTAATGATTATTATCGTTTAGCGCGCCTTTACCCCACGATATTAAAGAGAGACATTAATTATTCGAGAACGATTATCTGACCCTATTGCTTGCCATTTCATTGACAGCGGGAAGATGCGACAGGTGATACGATAAGGAGCAGAGAGAGAGAGAGGGAGACAGAGAGAGAGAGAGAGAGAGATATTTAAAATGTGACCATAGGTTATCTCATTTCAATCGAGGATGGTTTAATCTGAGGAGCCACTTTTAATTTTGCTTGTATCGTAATATTCATTGCGGGTACGTCGTTTAGAAATAAATCCGTGACGTTAACAAAGGATTGGAAAACGTGAGTAAATCAGATTTAAAAAAAAAAAACAAAAAAAAAAAAACTGTTTTTATAGAAAAACTAATTCTGACTCCACGGTAGATAAAACTATAAGGTAGCGCTTAGCGGCGTGCCAACTAAATACAGAGAGTCGAGTTCAAACGCCGGCCTTATCGGTTGCGTACAATTTTGCACAAACGCTTTTTGGAAAAAAAAAACGAATCTATTTACATCAATTACATTGTTCCGACTGTTGGCCTCACCTTTATTACCCTATTCACGACGTTTCGACCGTTGTACGCTGCGGCCTTCTTCAGGTGAGTGGAATTTCGAGCTAAAACTCTTATTACGTCCATCATTTCAATTCGAATTTCCAATCACCTGAAGAAGGTCGGGTCGTACAACAGTTGAAACGTCGTGAATATGCCAATAAAATGAGGACAGCATTCCAAACAATATAAATAACGTAAATAATCAAAATACATCATCTCAAAAATATAGATAATTAATGTATGAAACAGAGGAGAACGGGCATTGTTGTTGGCATATAGCCTAGGAGAAATATTAGTTGCATTTAACAGAGGGTACAGTCGAAAAAACAGCCACATATACCGCTAATGTGTTACGATTATTTGGGAGGTATTTCTGCCACAGCCTGTATATTACGGCGAATGTAATGAGCAATAATTCTTTCCTAAGCCGATTTGGTAATTCACAGACAGTAAAGAGCATTAAACTCTAGAAAGCCGTGTCGAAAAAGGGGTTTACATAAATAAACAAACACACACGCCATATATATCGTCGTCGGCATCCTTCCGTCTCGAGAGACGATAGAGTAGCGCGATGCGCTACGAACCTGTGTGGGATGTATGTAGACCTAGGGCTGCCCGGGCGTCTAGTTCCCCCTGTTGGCCTTGCTAGCAGAAACCAAAGGAGTGGATAAACCAATACAGTTTGGTACCAGCGCGGCTGCAGGAGTTGCCGGAAGGTAGGACAAAGTGCCGTCCTTCCGCCTTGGAGGCCCCAATCTGGGTTTGAATTCAGAGTTGTCCTTTTCCTAGACCAGTTGCCATCCAAGGCTATAGAACCCAGTCGAGAATTGCACAAAAGACCATAAACAGTACAGGAAAATGTATTGTATCCAAATGCAGCAAGAACACCGCTGTCTTATTTTGCTTTCATGTTTCACGCAGTCGACTGATGCTTACTTCTCATGGTGCGTTATTCCTGAGTGTCAGCTGGAACGATGCTCTGATCTCTTCATAGCTACCTCTTCAAAGTTCTTAAATGGAATGTTGACACAAGAAAGGTTGCTTTTCAGTTTGTCTTTATACCTGAGCCAAGGTCTACCAACATTTCTATGGTCACTGTGAACTTCACTGTAAAAAAGAACTTTTGGTATGTGATCATCACTCATCCTTACCACATGTCCAGCCCAATGTAGTTGTGATTGCATTATGAAGTTCTCGATGGTACCAATCTTGCATTTTTCAAAAAGGTCGGCATTTGACATTTGATCATCAAACGTTAGACCACAGATTGTACGGAGACAACCTTTATGGAAGACATCTAATCGTTTAATTTGCCATCTATAAGGGGTCCAAGTTACAGAGCCATACAAAAGAGTTAACAAAATGACAGCTCTGTACACTTGAATTTTAGTTCAAAGCTTTATTCCCCTTTTATCCCACAACCTATGACACAGTGAACCAAAGGAAGAAAATATATATACTAGGTGTAAAATACAACTGTTATTTTTCGCAAGAATCATTGAAAAACCCTCTGAGTTATTCAGTTGGAAAGAAAAATTGTTAAAATGGTTTTGTCTCCACCACTATCTTTACAAATGAGCAATGTTGAGAGGAAAAAGATCATTCGGGCCATCAGTTGTGGTACCAACATTCATACTCTGGCTTCCAACTTCAAAGTATATTCAAGAACCATCGAGGGAACGGTGAATAAGTTTAAAAAAAACAGGGAAAGGTAGAAAGGAAAATTGGATCAGGAGGTTGCAACAGCAAGAGGAGTCATCATTGCAACTTAGTACTAAAAAGATCAATTAGAAAAGATCCAACTGAATTCCTTAAGACCTTTGGGACGTGAGAAATAAGTTTCAGGAGTTTAGGGACGGCTATGTAATATGTAATCTTCTATACAGAAGTGAATGCTGGACAATCTCCTCACAGATGAAAAGAAACCTGAAGAGGCAGAGATGTACTGTTGGACGGCTATGTAATGTCTAAGGTACCTGTGAGGTACCTTGTTACTCCAGGACAGAAAGTTAGAAGGTTAGGAAAGGCGAAGATCTTTAATAAGTTGGAAAATGAACCTAGAATAATATATATATGTATATATAAATATATATATTTGGACATTATTTCAATACTTCATGAACATCTGATCTTTAGCGATGATTAATTATTGATGAACATTTCATTTTCGTCAATGATCGATTTCATCACGTTTATTCTGTTAAGCTTGGAGAGTAATTATACATTCTTATTGATCAAAGTAGAGTCCAATAGTGTTATAAAAACCTGAAAGAATTCCAGTCAAATATCTTTAATCATTTCTATGATAAAAGGGTCCAGAGTTTAATCTAACAAATAGACAATTTTGCTTTTACACGATTTGGACAATTTTGATGTTCCACTGGGTGCATATATACAGAGTCCACCCAAACTACAAGAAAGGAAAAACTTGTAGAGATATTGTAATATTAAATTTATTCACACATTAATTCAGAAATTCAGACATCAAGAGATTAATACAAGATACCTTTGGACCTTACAATCACAAGAGATGCTCAAAATGGTGCCTTTTAGCTTCCAGACATTTACATACGGTGTACGGAGAACTACTGTTGGGACAACGTGGGACTGCTTCGTATGCATTTTGAAATTCTTGTCGAAGGGTCGCCAATGTAGTCTGTTCTCTGCAATACCCATCATCCTTTGGGACTTGTTGATGCTACAGCCATGCGGGAAATGCCACCTGTCGGGAAAATATCGTACTACAGTAAACAGTATTATCACAATTTGATAACGAAAGTTTTTCCTTTCCTGAAGTATGTATGCATATTTTTGGTAGACTCTCTCTCTCTCCCCCCCTCTCTCTCTGTTTCTCTTCTTCTCTCTCTCTGTTTCTCTTCTTCTCTCCCTCGCCTCACTATTTCTCTGTCGTCCTCTCTCTTTCACTCACCCTCTCCATACAGATATCAATACATTCCTATTGTTCAAAGTAGAGTGCAACAGTGTTTTAAAAACATCGCAGAATTCCAGTAAGATATCTTTAATCATTTCTAAGATACAACGGTTCAAATCTTATTCTAACAATTGAATAATTTTGCTGTTACAGGATTTGGACAATTTTGTTGTTACACCAGGTATATATATATATATATATATATATATATATATATATATATATATATATATATATTGCATGAATCATTCATACAAAAAACAGATATAGAAGTTAATGATATAAATGACGAGAATACATCTTGGCAAACAATAAAGTACATTAACTTCGATGATTCATGTAATGTAAAATGAACTGCACCACATACTTGATATATATATATATATAATTATTTTTGATTTTTGATTCCATCGCTACATAAGAGTTCTCATGTTTCGAAAACAAGAGCCCAAAAATTCAACTTAATTATAAAAAATTAAATTGAATTAAAGTATCACGTTCTGTTTCATCTTCAAGGGAAATTTTTGGAATAACTAATCTTGAAATTTACGAATGTATATGCTTATAAGAAAGCTGCGTAAATTTCAAGAAGTTTCGCTGTCTTTTATTAGTCAATTCATATGGGATGTAGTATGGAATCTTTTAAAACGATCTGTGCCCATCTCTTCCCGTCTGTGCTTGGAAATGCGCAGAGTATTGTCTAGGACAAGATTAAGTAGATCGGGATTCACATTTCCTCCTTTACGCCATCCTGACGGCGTTTGAAATGTTTCCGTACCGAAGTCCTCGCTCAACCTGACAAACTTTGCGGAATAATAGACTTCCTCTATTCTAGCGATGCATTTTGGATTTGAGAGATTGCAAGGTGTTTTCGCATGTATCAGAAAGTAAGTCTCTATTGATGTAGTCATTACTTGTAGTGAGGTCGACATAGCAGGAATATATATATATATATATATATATATATATATATATATATATATATATATATATATATATATATGTGAAAATATATAGAAAATAGGAAAGAACTTGTTAGGTAAATAATCCAATGTTCTTTAGTATTTTTGTTATTATTTTTAAAAATAGTGCTCGATACAAAAGTAGAGCATAACCTCTTATGTAGCGTGTTGGAATCATATTTTTAAATAAATAATTATATATATATATTAAGACATTTTTATGTTTAACATTCTTTTTATAGATACAAATATTCAAGTAAATGCTCTGTTTATAATAACAGTATTAAACAACATTTACCGGCCGAAATGTCCGAGAACTTTTCACAGAAAATATTCATCCTCCGACAGGATTCGAACCTGTATCCTACAGGAAACCGTCTTTTAGGTTGAGGTGCCTTTACCGATTTGGCCACGAAGGTGCGTTCGGTTAGCAAAGTCGAATTTACTGTATTTCAACTTCAATCTTTCATGAATCTCTCACGTACATTCATGTCTGCTCAGGGCGTATCAAATGTATATATATGCGGGTAGTCTGAAAAGTTTATAGGCTGGCTCTGAAGGAGTGATGTTGGAGTTATGAAAGATTGCGTGAATTAATTTCAACGCTTCTTATTAATAACTGCATTGTTTATGTCCAGGTAAATCTTCTCTTCAAGATATATATATATATATATATATATATATATATATATATATATATATATATAATATGTTTCATTAAATAATATAGACAAGTGTTGTCTATTTATTTTATGGAAATTCTTTTCATAACGTCTGACAAGCTGAATAACATTATCATTAAATGAAGAAAGAAAATCACAATATTGATACCTTTTTTTTAATCCAATCTAAGCTTTCGGCTTACATAAGCCATTATTAAAGATTTCAATTACTGTACAACATATTAAGCAATATACGGACAAGTCAGTGAAGACAGTCTGTGATTGTTTACATGTATGATTTCCTATCAACGATAAACACGTGCATATAAGACGCAAGAAGCGAAAAACGCACTGCACCTCATGACGTCACACATGACCACGCGAGAGTGAATTGAGAAGTATTAATATATATATATATATATATATATATATATATATATATATATATATAAAGAATGTATAAACATAAAATGTCTTAACATGTATTTATATATATATATATATATATATATATATATATATATATATATATATATATAGATATAAAGAATGTATAAACATAAAAATGTCTTAACGTATATATATATATATATATATATATATAAAGAATGTATAAACATAAAAATGTCTTAACATGTATATATATAGGTGAGTGGCTGAAAAGTTCAGAGGCTGATGATGATCGAGTAATGATATAACTGTGAAATCTTGCATGCATTAATTTCAAAATCTTTTCATTAATAACCTAATTGTTTAGGTCCGGGTTTTTATTAAGTACCTGCAGAAAAAAGGGTTTAACTCATAAAGACGTTCATGCTGATATGATTTTTACATTAAAAGATGTAGAGGCTTATTCACCAACAGTGCAAAAGGGAGCAGTTGAATATTAGGAGGAGAAGGCAGAGTGTTGAAGATAGCGCAATGTACTGCAACTGCTACCACCGAGGAAAACAATGATCGTATTCACCACATTGTGAGAGATGACAGGAAAATGACTATAAGTGAAATAACTAATGCTATTAGTATATCCATTTAGAGCAATATTCTGCAAAATGAAATTTGCATGACGATGAATTGTATTCAGTGGGTGCCACATCTTCTGATACCTAATAATGTTAACGTCATATCTGCTGGAGATGAAATTTTTGACTAACAAGATGGAGTTTTTCTTGAACTGTCAAATGTCAGTCTACCTGGAAAGAAACCATGCAGTTATTAATACGATTTGAAATTAATGCCTGTAAGATTTAAAATCACAGCCTATATCTCACTTAAATGGCGTTAAATTTGGGCAATTTGCCCCTAAATGTAAATCAATTTGATATAGAAAAGTAATCTAATAGTGTTTTACCGACAAACCATGTTTTTCTTTGAAATGTTAAATTAACCAAATTTGAAGATTGAACACGTTTATTTTGTCATCTTCAAGACATTAAGAGTGGACTTTAATAATTAGGAATGATTAATATATTTTTAGAAAACAAAGGGTTTATTCTAAAAACGGAGATTATTTTCCGAACAATCTGATACTATTTTGCAGTCTATATACAGGGTGCATCACATATTTAAGAACAAAATTCTGAAAGAGCTTGATATAAAATTAACAAAGACGGCACTTTAATAATTAGGAATGATTAATATATTTATATGCAACTGTTATAATAGCATATTAGAAAGCAATTGAAATATGCTCTCGTTAATATACGAATCCAAATAAAATCCTGCCTCTACTTAGCATAACATTATAATTTTGATTCCTCTTACGTTTGGCCTTGTGCCACACTATACCAAATCTTTCCAAATATCTATAAACGCATTTATTAAAGTTAGGAAAAATTTTGGAAACGGATAAATCAAACTAGTGAGTAGAAAGCGTCTGCTTAGCTAGCTCGTTATCCATTACCCAAAGGCGATGACGCTTGTGTATATCGGGAGAAAGAAAAACGGAAGTAAAAACAGGAAAGCAATAGTGGAGGGGTGAATCATGGAACAAAGGGGAAACAAAGAATAAGAAAGAGAAAGAGAGAGAGAGAAATAAAAAGAGCGAGAAGGAAGATTAAAAAGAAAGAAAGAAAGAAAGAAAGAAAGAATGAAGGAAAAAATTAAAAAGAATGAAGAAAAAAAGAAAAGCAAGAAAGAATGAACGAACGAACGAAACAAAGAAGGACAGAATAAACGAAAGAAAGAAAGAAGGAAAGAATGAAGAAAAAAAAAAAAGAAAGAAAGAAAGAAAGAATGAACGGAACAATGAAGGACAGAATAAACGAAAGAAAGATAGAGGGAAAGAATGAAGAAAAGAAAGAAACAATGAACGAAAGAAAGAAAGAAGGAAAGAATGAACGAACGAAACAAAGAAGGACAGAATAAAAGAAAGAAAGAAAGAAAGAAAGAGGGAAAGAATGAAGAAAAAAGAAAAGAAAGAAACAATGAACGAAAGAAAGAAAGAAGGAAAGAATGAACGAACGAAACAAAGAAGGACAGAATAAAAGAAAGAAAGAAAGAAAGAGGGAAAGAATGAAGAAAAAAGAAAAGTAGGAAGAAGGAACAAAAAAAGAAAAAAAGAATGAACGAACGAAACAAAGAAGGACAGAATAAATGAAAGAAAGAAAGAAGGAAAGAATGAAGAAAAAAAGAAAAGAAAGAAAGAAAGAAAGAAAGAAGGAAAGAATGAATGAACGGAACAATGAAGGACAGAATAAACGAAAGAAAGATAGAGGGAAAGAATGAAGAAAAGAAAGAAAGAATGAACGAAAGAAAGAAGGAAAGAATGAACGAACGAAACAAAGAAGGACAGAATAAAAGAAAGAAAGAAAGAAAGAGGGAAAGAATGAAGAAAAAAGAAAAGAAAGAAAGAATGAACGAAAGAAAGAAGGAAAGAATGAACGAACGAAACAAAGAAGGACAGATTAAACGAAAGAAAGAAAGAAGGAAAGAATGAACGAAAGAAAGAAAGAACGAAAGCTTGAAAGAGAAAAATAACAAATTTATGTAAAAGGTAAAGAAAGAAAGAAAGAAAGAAAGAAAGAAAGAAAGAAAGAAAGAAGGAAAGAAAAGCCGACATAGAATCAGAAAGAAAAAGCTAAATGAACCAAATACGACAATGGGGAAAAGCGAGAGAGTGTAAATAAATTTACTGAAAGAGTCAATAAAGAAAGAAAGAAAGAAAATGAAAAAAGAAAAAAAGTAAAGAAAGGTAAAAAGATTGAGAGTATGAGAGAGAAAAAAGCAACATGATCGAAATCCGACAGACCAGGAAAAGAGACAGTGTGGAAATATATTTACGTAAAGCATAAACAAATGAGAAAAAAAAAAAAAAAATGAAGGCAAGTTTGCTTTTAATAGAGAGAGAAATCTTTGTAAATCAATGAATAGACAATAATCTTTTTGTGTATGTCGAGTGCGTATATTGAAAAAATGCCACATCGATTTTTTTCTTTTTGATAATTGTCCTCCTCAGTGAAATAACTTTGTTCCTGATACTCGACTTTTTCAGTCTTTTATGAGCCGAGCAGATCCGTCATTCGCTAACACACACACACACACACACACACACACACACACACACACACACACACAAATAGACAATCCTGCACTTACCTATAAATGCATGTCTCTCTCTCTCCCTCTCAAGCACACACAAACAGTAAAAATTCACGCCAATCCTAACAAACTGATCCGTGCCTATGCACACATATGCCCATAAGGTAAACAAACTGAAACTCTTACTACTAATAAAAAAAAATCCTATCACTCATATTGAAATAGTAACGTTAGCGAATGTTGGACGGTCTCCTCAGGGATGAAGAAGAGACTCGAAAATAGGGATGTGGTTCTACAGAAGGATGCTAAGGATACCACAGACCGAACATGTAAGCAACGATGAAGTTTTGGAGAAGATGCAAACAAGAGGAAACTTATAATTAATATCAGAAAGAGGAAGCGGAAATTTCTGGGACACATAATAAGAAAAAAAGGCTTGGAGAATCTGATACCCACAGGGCGGATAGCGGGAAAGAGAGACAAGGGAAAGCAACGCGTGACATAACGGGCTTAAGCAAGTGAATGGCAAAATAGGGTGTGGAAGAAATAACAAAACTTACTGGGTGCTACAAGGAGCAAGAAGAGGTGGAGAGCCATGATCACCTACGTCCGGAAAGGACACGACATATAAAAGAAGAAGAATACTTTAGATACGTTAGATGAGCAGGGATGTTCGTACTGGACTTGTCAATCACGCCCGCTGAGAATAATCTTGTTAAATATGCGATTTCTAAGTGACAGATGCTATTTGAGTATCTATTCGAAGGGGTGGCAGACCTTGACAGTATATTCATGGCCCAGAGGCTAGATAGGTCAAGTGACTAGACTCAAAGAGGTGCCAGTTCGCTACCAGGCCACAGCGGTGGTGAACTAACACTTGGAGAGTTGAGTCAAATGGAAATAACATCCGAAAGAGGCATGGCATGTGGAAATAGAACAGTTTACTCTGGAGGACGAAATAAAGGTTTCGGTTCGAAATTCCGATCAACTGAAAAAGGCCGGGGCGTACAACGGCCGAGTCGTTGTGAATATGGCAATGAAGATGTCTTGCGAGGCAATTTTGCTGAACAGCTGGTTTAAATGATGTGATTGAGAAAGTGTAGGTGGTCGTCAATTTAAAATTTCATAAGCTTAGTCTTGGGCGCTATTTCGGGTCTCTTGCTATCAGTGCGGGCGATGACAAAATACTATGCCTTTCTTCGTGAAGTTAATCCATGGTAATGACGTACATATCCACGAAATGAGTTGAATATTGCTGTGATGATGTGATTCTACACGTGTCTATATAAGCTGTGATGATATCTAATGTGGGCGGTATATGCGTATATATACCCGGGATGCTATAGTCACAGGTTTGTCTAACTGGCTGTGGCCGAATTCAGCAAAGAATAACGACAAATGATTTTCAAAACACTGATTGGGAAATGGCAAAAAAAAAACGATTTATTCGACATCGATAAGCTGAAACCCTGCTATTTTACCAACTTCCTGCCACAAATCAAAGGAACATTACATTCATTGCCTGATTGTCTCGCTAACTGCTAACTTACCTAATACTGCTCCTTTCCTTACTGACTGACGATATTCAGTCACCCCTCCACGAGGGTGTCATGTGGCACAAGGCCTTTTTAACGTGGGCATTCCGAGCCCGTGGGTTCGAACAAAAATATGCCCATTGAACCCATATAAACGGGTTCAGGGCCGGTTTTACCTCCCCGAAGGAGACACCGCCCTTCGGCGTAGCCGCCTTCGGGTTCCTCCCGTCCGTAGGAAGAGAGTAAAATCGAACAGTCGGTAGTGAACTACTTACTGACTAACTGATTCACTCACCACTCATTATGTGTTGTGGCCTGTTTAGGGGCCAGAAAAAAAGACACGGAAGACGAAGGTCGGTTGAAAAAGTTTATTGAAGATATATACAAAACAATAGTGTTAGTAATAAGTAGATTAGCACTGCGTCTACTACTCCACTCCACTTCACACTCTGCGCTCCCGTCCGACTCTCACAGTTTGTATTTATGAGAGAAGGGAGAGTTCATTATACTGTAAGAGGGTTTACCACAACAATATGGATACTAGCTAAAGGACGGACTGGCCCTATCCGCTTGCTTGTGTTCCGGGAAATTATGCTTTTGGGTGATCAGTTTTTCAAAGGCTCTACTTTTATGATTATCTAAAATCACTAACAAAATGTTATGTTTGCCAGTTCAGATGATGACTGGATACAGGTTTCCAGAAAAATTCTGCCTATTAAATTGACTCAAAGATATGCTAGAGACAAGTTTCCGAAGAAACCCTAGTCATTAAATTGAATTAAAAGGGAAAAAATCCCTTACCTCCTACGTTGTAGCCACATCCGGTCTAGTTCATCTGAGACACTCGACAAAAACCAAACAAGACACTGCAATATCATAGGTCCTAACATGTCGCCTAGATTTCAATCAGTCTCTCACTATCGTAGCTTATCTTCACTCTGCCTTTTCTAAAAACATCAATGTGTGAGTGGTGTAACAAATTGCGTCTCAGAATAAGAAGTTGAAGAGCTGTGTTCGAATTCCAGTCGTCTCTGTTATATACAATGACGCACAAAAAGCCTTCAGAAAAGTATGAATCGATTCCCTCTCTCCTCAAAAATGGGTTAAATAGTTGGACTTGTATCTGTAAAAAATATTGTTATCTAAAAAAATACTCAGTAACCTCTTGTGTCTTAGCGGCTTTATTGCCTTGGATTGGGTGAAAGGATTATAATTATTATTTCCCATTGATTTTCTTCCTTATTTCTGTCTATTTAACGTTACAGTCACCAGTTCCCAGTTTTTATGAGCCTTCAAAGAAACCTGTCTCGTTTTGATTGTAAGTATAAATTTGCATGTAGATCCTGTTTTCTTTAAACATTCCTTGATGGCCACATCTTCTATCTCTGGTAATATGCTAATATGTTAAGCTTTCGTCGGCAGAATCATATCACCGTCGCTTTAACTCTTTATACACCTGGGAGGAGATTGCACTACTACTAAACACCTCTAAACACTTCTAAACACCAAACTGAAGATTGCGTAGCAGCTCTGTCCACTTTTATTATTATCCCCTGAAGTTTTCTTACATTTGGCTTTGTTTCTGGAGACCATATTTTCCAAATTCTATGAGCCTAAAACTGAGATTTTTCTTGGACAGTGAAGATAAGGCAGAAAGACGTCTTAAGTCAAAAAGAACACTTTTTACAAATAATTTACCATCAATCAAGAGAATAAAGTCCCTCAAACTTAACGGGTTAATGGATATGGAAGAATATGAATGAAAACCATTATTATGGAGAGCGAACAATAAAATTAAAACAAGATAATAACTGACATTTAATTATGTGTTCGTCATCTGGTGTTGTCACTCTGTGAAACCGTTTTACATATACAATCTATTAAACGATACATGTATATTGAAATAAAATAAAGTAGCTTTTTTAGTCATTTCCCCCAAAGCAAGGTAACATAACAACTAAAATGCAAGGGGGTTACTGAGTGTGATAGAATATGAGAAATATATTGCTAACGAAAGATATGCCTCTTGATTCCTCGGGAAACATAGCGCCACAACCACATTTCTCCAACGGGGACCCGGTCCGGGGTGATCGTCTTTAAGCTCGGCCCATCTCTAGCCTGCTGACTTCATCTCTGCGTCAACACTTCTGCGACAAGTCTGTTTTAGTCGACCCACTTTTCGCTTCCCTTGTAGATTCTAGTCAAGAGCTTGTTAGGTGACACTAGCAGGTTTTCGGCGTGTGGCCGATCCATACCCATTTCTGTTTCTCGATGTCAATCTTAATCGGAGCTTGTCTTGTCCCGTCCCATAGTTGATCGTTGGAGACGACTTCCGGCCACCTTATAATGAGGATGTTCTTGAGATGTTCCGGCTGACTTCATCTCTGCGTTAACACTTCTGCGACAAGTCTGTTTTGGTCGACCCACTTTTCGCTTCCCTTGTGGATTCTAGTCAAGAGCTTGTTAGGTGACACTAGAAGCAGGCTTTCGGGTGTGGCCGATCCATACCCATTTCTGTTTCTCGATGTCAATCTTAATCGGGGCTTGTCTTGTCCTGTCCCATAGTTGATCGTTGGAGACGACTTCCGGCCACCTTATAATGAGGATGTTCTTGAGATGTTCCGGCTGACTTCATCTCTGCGTTAACACTTCTGCGACAAGTCTGTTTTGGTCGACCCACTTTTCGCTTCCCTTGTGGATTCTAGTCAAGAGCTTGTTAGGTGACACTAGAAGCAGGCTTTCGGTGTGTGGCCGATCCATACCCATTTCTGTTTCTCGATGTCAATCTTAATCGGGGCTTGTCTTGTCCCGTCCCATAGTTGATCGTTGGAGACGACTTCCGGCCACCTTATAATGAGGATGTTCTTGAGATGTTCCGGCTGACTTCATCTCTGCGTTAACACTTCTGCGACAAGTCTGTTTTGGTCGACCCACTTTTCGCTTCCCTTGTGGATTCTAGTCAAGAGCTTGTTAGGTGACACTAGAA